AAAAAAAAAAAAAAAAGTAGTTCTCTTTTGTAATTTTACAACAACTTGCTCCTTATCAGAAATCTCTCCCAGGTACGCCATGAAGAGAGACTATAAATATTGGGGGAGAGGGATATCAGATAAGAAACCAGTCTGAAGCACGAGACAGGCAGAGGACTCAAAGAGACGGGAGATGAGATTAAATCCAAACAGCAGTGCCATGGTGGCAGGAAACAGAGAGATGAAAGAAGATTTAAGGGCAGCAGAATCAAGATACATGTGAAAATAGCGTCAACAGGAGGTGAGGAGACCATGATGGGTTCACCACAGAGGATTTATCAGTGGTCCCCAGCTTCAGAAGTCTAGAATTCTCCAGTTGGTCAGCAAAACCAAATGTGACCAAAATGAGAAACAATTGCAAAGTAGCAGAAAATGCTTACTTTGGTATGGACAGGACATTTTCCTCCTCGGGAACGTTCCATGTGAAGTCAAATTATGATAAAAACAAACTAAGGAACTAGAAAACTAGAGAGTTGTGCTTGAAGCGTTCCCCCGCCCAGCCCCTCCCCAGAGCAGGAATGAACACACTTGGCAGGGAAGGAATAAATGCTCAGAAGTCTTCCCTGCTCTAAAGGCTCTTTCCATCCTCTGCTGCAGCGTTACCAAAAGTATGCTCCCTAGTTTCCGCAAAATGCATATAGGATTCTCAAAAAGGGTTTCATAGATATAAATCAGAAAATTGCTGATTAAACCAAGTCATGAAATGCAAGACTTTTAGGAGTGTTTGGTAAATAACCTCACACTGTGATCGCTGCTATACAGTATGCAGTGTCTCCAAGCTTATCTGATCCTAAGTCTCCCACTTTACAGTTCCTTATTGACACATCAAAATCAGACTTAGGTACATTCTGAGTATGTCCCAACCAGACATATCCTTTACTGAGACTACACCCTGGTCTCCCTAAGTTTTGGATGTTCCTAGCAATTCCTCTGCCATCCTGAGTGAGTTACTTCTACAAAAGATTCATCTCATCCTATTACATTTGATTTGCACCAATTTCACTCTAAGAGGGTAACATCTCTCTCTAGGTTCTTTAGGTTCTTTCTTTAGAATCTTGCAGTCTCAGTGCCTGGCAATAAATACGCCAACGTACACAAAGATTCGGTGGGAAGCTCATTCATTCATCCTTATAGGCTACTGACTATGTGAGATCAGATTTGGGCCCGTATCTCAACCTACTGGCAGTCCAGTTGGAGAGATAAAACATTAACAAATAAATAATTCAGTGATGGTGGAAGCAGACAGAAAACATGTGATGGCTATAAACGGGGAAGAAGAGGGCAGAAGCTTTCAGTACCACGGCCATGAGAGGAAGGTGAGAGAAGTCCTGGGGTCGCCGGCAGAGCCAGGCGGCTCCTGTTTCATGTAGGCCTTGAAGGACTTAGAGCACAGGAAAGGGAACAGGGTGAACAGGCTGGTGCGAAGCAGCTAGAGAACAGAGGTAAGGCCAAGAGGGGGAAGGCGGGGAGGGAAGGATATACGGTGGAAGAGGTATAACTGGAAAGGTAGGCGAGGGACAGATCATGTGCAAACCAGCATGCCCAATCTGAACTTAATTCTGAAGGTGACAGAAGGCGAGAGGTTTCCCGGCACTTAAGTAATGTAAATCAAGATGCATCAGATAAATTCAACAAAGACTGAGGGTGAAAATGCTTTTTCTTTCAATGTTCTGAGATCAAGTGCCAGCCCCATCACTCGTGTGCAGACATCACAGTCAAGTCACCTGAGCTGCCTGCAGCGCGGGTTCTCGCCTCAGGAACAGGGGTGAGAATCTCTGCGCAGCCAGCGTCACAGGGCCTGCTGAGGATTCGAAACTGTAACCAGTGTGGACGCAAGGGAGCCACGCAAACGTGGTGAGCTCAACACCGCCAGCGCCCCGACTCCCGGCTGTCGGGATGGGAGGAAGCTGTGGGGCTAAAGGGCCAGCCGCAAGGCCCAGGGCCCGCGAGCTCCCAGGCCCCCTCCTCCTACAGCGCGGAGCCGCCCCGCCCAGCCCCGGAGTGCCAGCACCAGGCGGCTGAGCCCGCGCTGAGGCCCAAGGCCCGCGCCGCCTGAATGGATGGGCGGCCGCCGGGCTTCCTCGCTGACGATGATCAGAAGGGGCTCCACGCCCCTACGGCCTTCGCCGTCCGACGAGCCCGGCCGAGCATATTCGGCGCGGCCTTGTGCTGCGAGGCAGGCCTCGCAGCCTCTGCAGCTGCCCCGCGCCCCGCTCGGTCCCTTTCCTCAGCGCCGGCCGGCCACGAGGCCCGAGCGCGGGAGCCAGCAGCTAGCCGGGCCGGGCGCCCGCCCCACTCCCGTTAAACACGCAGCCCATTGGGCAGGACGCCGTGTCACCTCGCCCCTGATTGGTGGGGAGCGACGTCTTTCACCCCGGCGGCGGGGCTACCCAGCGCCCGGCTGAGCTAGCGTCGCCGACTCCAGAGCGGGAGAACGGTTCCCCCGGGATCCTTAGAGTCAGCCTACCTGCGGCCGGCTTCAGATCCTCCCGTCAGCGACAGAGCTGGGCCGGCGACGCGCGCGGAGCCCCGGACAGCCAGTGAACAACCCTGGCCGCACGCGCCCAGCAGTCTTTCACGGAGGCGGGCTCTAGGCTGTGCGCACGCAGAGGGCGGAGGGCGGGGCGTGGCCGAAGTGCGCAGGCGCGGGGCGGTCGCCGCCGCTAGATCTCCTGGCAGTCTCTGCTCCCCTGTGTCGGCGGCGGTTCGAGTCCGGGATGGTGGCGGGATGTCTGCCCCTTTGCTTCCGTCCCAGCTTGTACCACAAGCTTCCTCTCTTGAGGGGGAGGAGGCCTCTTGGGGACTCACGTCTGACCTATTCGTCGCCTGGCCTCGCGTCCTCCCACAGCGGCCTCCTGGAGTTGTGGGCGTTGCCTTGCATCTGATGGTCTTTCACTGCGGGCTCCAGGCGGTGCTGCGCCAGCGCATCTCTGCCTCCTGGCGAGGGACGGCAGCTGCGTCACCCCGGCCTCCAAAACGGAAGTGCAGAGGGTCGCGTGGCGCTGACTCCTCGTCGCGGCCTCCCTCCTCCCCACACCTGCCCCGGAGGCGGCTGCTTTGGATGGATGAGGGTCCAGAGAGGAACGACATCATCCAGCTACAGCTCCCTGAGCACCCACTGTGTGCCACGCACTGTGCTGGGCACAGAGGGACCCTGTCCTCGGACTAACGATGTAGAGAGGCACACTGACCAGCTCATTACACTTCATGAGAGCTTGCTGCGGAGATGCTGGTGCCGGGGCAGTGGGTGCCCAGCGCAGGGACTGACCCAAGTCTGGTGGGGGTTGGGAATTCAGGCAGGAAGTATCCCCTGAAAAAGTGACTTTGAAGCAGAGACCTAAGTAGACTGGCAAAGATGGGAAAGGGAGAGCCAAGGATAAGAAAGTGAGGTGTGCTTGAGCCCACAAGTTCAAGACCAGCCTGGGTAACAACGAGAGACCCCATTTCTTTCTTTTTTTTTTTTTTTTTAGACTGAGTTTCCCTCTTATTGCCCAGGCTGGAATGCAATGGTGCAATCTCCGCCTCCCAGATTTAAGTGATTCTCCTGCCTCAGCCTACAGAGTAGGTGGAATTACAGGCATGCACCACCACGCTGGGCTGAAGACCAAAATATGCCAGCCCCTGAGCTGAACACATATCTTTGTCTTGCTTCTTACGTACTCAGGAGTTTATCGCAGCCTGCTGAGATTTCCTGTTCACTTATCTGTCTCCTCCATACCAGATTGGAATCTCTTTGAGGCTACTTAGCCTCTCTGTAATTTTGTATTTTTAGTTGAAATGGGGGGTTTCACCATATTGGCCAGGCTGATCTCAAACTCCAGACCTCAGGTGATCCGCCTGCCCTGACCTCTCAAAGTGCTGGGATTACAGGCGTGAGCTACCGTGCCTGGCCTATTATTTTTATAAGAAATGGGGGCCGGGCACAGTGGCTCACGCCTGTAATCCCAGCACTTTGGGAGGCCAAGGTGGGCAGATCACAAGGTCAGGAGTTCGAGACCAGTCTGGCCAATATGGTGAAACCCTGTTTCTACTAAGGATGCAAAAATTAGCAGGGCCTGATGGTGGGTGCTTGTAGTCTCAGCTACTCAGGAGGCTGAGGCAGGAGAATTGCTTGAACCCAGTAGGCAGAGATTGCAATGAACCAAGATCATGCCACTGCACTCCAGCCTGGGTGACAGAGCAAAACTCCATCTCAAAAAATAATAAAAGAAGAAAAAGTGAAGCAGAAGGACTCAGCTCCAAATCTAAAAAATGTTTTGAAGGGCAGGAGGATCACTTGAGTCCAGAAGTTCAAGACCAGCCTAGGCAATATAGTGAGACTCCATTTCTACAAAAAGTGCAAAAATTAGCAGAGCATGGTGACACGAATCTGTAGTCCTGACTACTCTGGAGCCTGAGTCAGGAAGATTGCTTGAGCCCAGGAATTCAAGGCCACAGGGAGCTAGGATCCCGCCACTGCATTCCAGCCTGGGCAACAAAGTGACACTGTCTCAAAAAGGATGGGACCAGATGGGAGACGGGACGGGAGATG